TCGCACTTGATTTCACATTTTTTATTTGTGCATATATCAAAAACATTCTATTCGAGTTTAATATGTTGAAAATGATTTATATTTCTTATTTTTAAATTTATTTTCGCATATTTTAAAGGGCTCGCATATTTTAGTTCGCAAGCTTGCACACTCTGCATAAAGTCGTCAGAACGAATTTAATCACCGCTAAATTTTAATCCGACCGACTTCATCACGTCAGGTTTCGGAAAAAATCTAACCCAAAAGTAGACAAAACGCGTCTTTTACATTACAAAGAATTTTTTTCACTAGAACTGATGCCTTCTAGAATTGCTTACTCTTCCTCCACAAATTTCCTTTAACTAACGATTTATTGAAAATGAGAAAGGAAAGTGAAAGAAAGTATGAAGGCTTAACTAGTTATGTGAAAAAAAAATTCTATAAAAAATATTTTTTTAATTTTTGCGCTAGAATATCTTGAAAGCCTATTATTTTTTTAGAAATACGATGCTGTCAGAAGCATGTAAGTAAAATTAAGATTTGTAAAAAATTAAATTAAAAAAAAATGTGCTTATAGATTATGTTAGATTTTTTTTGTGGGAAATTGTTGCCCTGGCAATTAATTGTTAATCGCGCGGGAGATAAAACCTTCCACTATTTTCCACACATTTTCATCGACATTTTCATTTTTTAATACCAGATCATGATCACTTTATCACTGTTCACTGTTAAACAATTTTTTAGCGTTTTAACAAATAAAAATGTTATTTCAAAAACAAATTTTTTTTGGACATCTGAGTAAAAAATATGATTTAATTTAAAAATTTGTTTTATTACTCCAACCATTTTTGTCATAATATTTAATAAATATTATTTATGAAAATAAATATAACGTATGTATTAATTTGCTTGCAATAATAGTATATTAAAGAACTAATGTCATAAGACGTCATTTTGTCGCACGATGACAATTTATAAAACGAGCGACAAAGGAGCGAGTTTTGTAATGTCTTATGACATGAGTTCTTTATGCTATTTTATCTATTTTGCAAAATTGTATAAAAAAAATAATTTTATACCTTATATTTAATTTGGTCGAATTTTACTTTAGATAGTTGGTATCACAGTCATTGGTTTGAAGGGTTAATGTCAAAATCGATTCGCCATGGCGTCCTTAATTTACTTATTTACAATAAGCGGCTGTTAATGTTAAAGAAGAAAAGAGATTTTCTTTGATGTTAAACAAAATTTATTGCCAGAAAAGCCTCGTAAGTACTAGAAAAATCATAAAAATATTATAACCAATATGCAAAATATTATTTTACTGGTATGCTGTTTAAAGTATACCTATAAAATCAAAATTTTGGGTGGGGTAAAGTACCTCATTACAGCACCAAAAGCGGTGTTACAATAAAGTCATTATGAATGCAAAATAGATAATAGTACATTCTGTAACAAGTTTGGAATACAGCATATTCCGCTCGAGGAAAAATTTGACACACGAGCCGAAGGCGAGTGTGACGGTTTTACGAGAGTGGAATATGCTATTCCAAACGTGTTTCAGACATTATTTTCTCTACGACTACGTAAGAATAGTAGCGCTTATATAATTTTAAACAGAGAAAAGAAACCAAGCAGTTTTTGACATTTAAGTTTTTTGTATTGTCAAACCATTTTGTGCCATCACAATTTTATAATGTAAATTATAATAAATTTAAACACATGGTATGCCTAAATCTTTATTATAATTAAAAATAGTTATTTACACTAACTAATAAAAAAAATAACATTGTTTGTTACAAACTAATTTTACAAGTAATCTATGTCAACATCTATTCTTTTTCTACATTTTAAAGGTCTTTTTTTAAACTTTTTGAATCTGTCAAAACTTCAAAGCCGGTAATACCTGCCCGGTATAGTAGGTAACTGGTTTATTATTTTAATATCAAATTTATTATAATTTTGATTTGTATATTTGAAAAACAATAAATATAACTAATTTTTTGTGCCTAAACCTTAATAATTAATAATTATTATACAACTGCTATTATTTTTAATTAATAAATAATACAGTAATATTTAAATATTTTTAAATTTTTTACGTTTAGTAAACAGCCAGGAGATGTCGTTACTTGTGACCATTCTTAAACAAGAGTAGGAATATTCTCGCACAGTATTGCAGAAAAACATCCTTTCTATGATCAAAAATTACACTAGAATGTTACTATTCTTAAGTAGTCGTAGAGAAAATAATATAAAGTTTAGGTGCACCTAAACTTTATATTATTTTTTCTACTCCCACCTTTAAAACTTTACCCTAAACCCTTTATCGTACATGTTTCCATGACACTAAGTGACCTTTTAAATACAAATTGACAAGTTCTGGCTTTATGGCGCTTTAGTCACGGGCTGAAGTGAGCAACAGGTTTTTAGTCACGGGCCGAAGTTAGTTTTAAGTTAGTTGGTAGTTGTCAAATGTCGTACAATCGTTAAAATAAATTGCATTTCTTGTAAAATAAAACTAAATGTGAAAATTATTTTATTATCTCTATATACAAAAATACAAAAGTATTAAATAATTTCTCAACGCCAATATTTGAAAAGTTTATATGAACATTGTACTGACCTTTTAATTTCGCCGGCAGTAAACTATAACTTAAATTTGGGCACGGACTCCACTGTTAAGTGCTCATGAAACATTTTCTTTACTTTCACTGTGAAAAACTGTAAATTTTTAAGAAATACATTTCGATTTATAACCTTTATAATCTGTGTTTATAAAATATAAAAATTTTACATTTGACGGTGACACACAGATTCCCCTATTGTTTCATAGATGACGTTCTATCCAAATTTTTGATTTAAATCATTTTAAGATAATAATAAGTATTTGTCGTAGAAAAAGTATAGTATGCACCTCGTCTATAAACTTTTCTATACACTCATTAATTTAAGCACTCGCTCGCAAGCTCGCTCGTGCCTAAATTTGATTCGTGTATAAAATGGCGTTTATCAAACTTGATACATAATAATATTATATTATATATAGTATATTATACTATTACGTATCTACTTCTACTGTGCCTTTATGAAGTTTTAGTATTTGAATTAGTTTACTTTTTTTAACGGTAAAGTTCACCGGGTGAACAATAATAAAATGATAATCTCGTATTTCAAAATAAAAATTTCCATGAAAATGTTTCCGGTAAAATTCAGGCGACGGAAATGTTAAAAAAATTGACTTTTGCAACGAAAAATCCCATGAAACGAATTGAAATTTTTTCCAACCTTCCAAATTTTAAGAAAAATGTACTTTGGTATTTATTCTGGTATTAATATTATATTATCTCGTACTCCATGTCAACTCAACACACCCATTTACCACACCACCTCAGATTTTCTTAAAATTTGGTATACTTATACTATGTAATAAGACTAAGAAAAATATAATTTTTTATCTCTAACGCGAAAAAAGTGTGAACGTTTATTTTTTAAACTGCTCTGGAAGCTGTCCTAATTCAGCTAGAAAGCTAGGAAGAGGTGTCATTTTGCAGCATTTTAAATGCTTTTTCAAATGACATACGACTGACAAGAAGATATAAAGATTTTGTTAAAAATACATATATTTATATATGCTGATTTAATTTTTGTTCAAAAATTACATAATTTAAAATTCTCAAAATATTTGTATAAATACTAGCCTGAAAAACGTAGAATATTGTCAAAATTAGTTAAAAGTAAAAAACCAGCATCAGAAATATTTTTTTAACAATGAACCCATTCTTGAAATTTCCAAATGCTCCTTTTATTAAAACGTGTGTATTTTTAAATTTAAACTTAAAAAAAATATATTTTAAAAACGATGCGCCTTAACATCCTCTATAAGCACAAATTTGGATTTTTGAGAATTTTTATTTTACATTCCTCGAACAGCATCGTATTTCTACAATCCACTGCCTCAAATATTGTCATGTTTTTTTTTAAATAATTAAATTCTGTTTAATGTTCATAATAACAAAAGTTGTCGTATGAAATTTTTCATTTAAGAAAGAAATAAAGTGCGAAAACTGTGTGTATTTTTTATTATTTTATTATCTTATCTTATAGTAGTGTTGTGCATCCAAACAGTATATCAAGTGTTTTTATTTTGCATCCCAGCAGTTCTTTAAAGTGTTTATGGTTCAGCAATAAGGTATCATAGTGAATTTTTAGATGAAATACATTTTTTTAACGTTTAAATCAGTGGCGGCTGGTGGATTTTATGTATACCAATATCTCAGTTATTAGACATGGGACCCACACCAAATTTATAATAGTTTATAATGACATTAAATAAACAAGTTCGGCGCAAACAGAATTTAAATTGAAGTTTGCGAAAAAAAGTTAGTTTTTCCTGTCGCCTCACCCGCCTCCAGGCCCCCCTATTTGAGATAATTCAAATTAAAGTGGTGCCACAAATTAAAAATTTTATTTAAAAAATCCAAATATTACAGGTTTTATACCATTTTAAATATTTTTTTATTTTAATAAAATAAATAATAAAAATTTAAAATCGAACAAAATCTGTAATATTTGGATTTTTAAAATAAAATTTTAAATTTGTCGATAAATTATAATTATAGTAGGTATACTAGTATTTAGTAGATATATAGTAGATATTACTATAATTATAGTAGATAATAAATGGCACCACTTTAATTTGAATTATCTTAAATAGGGGGGCCTGGAGGCGGGTGAGGCGACAGGAAAAACTAACTTTTTTTCGCAAACTTCAATTTAAATTCTGTTTTCGCCGAACTTGTCTATTTAATGTCATTATAAACTATTATAAATTTGGTGGTCCCATGTCTAATAAATGAGATATTGGTATACCCAAAATCCACCAGCCGCCACTGGTTTAAATGTCTGTAAAAATATTGCTTATCAAACAATAGATAGTTTTAAAAAACGTGTTTTCTTCTAAAAACTCACTATAAGGGTATATGTATATAAAACGGTTTTGGTGATTATTGCCCGGTTAGGTTGGTGGTAGCGGGTCTGGAATGGAGACGGCGAAGGACGCCGCACGTGGGCACGCGGGCCGGCGCATCTCGAGCCGATGAGACGGGCGCCCGCCCACGGACCGCCCCATCTTCATCTGAGACACCCGGATCAAGAGCAGCAGCAGCCGCCGCCACCGGCCACCTCTGACTCCGTCGACACCCTAACCACCACCACCACTGACTCCCAACATACAGGTAAACACTTGTTTTTAATTCACTCAAAAATTGCATCACAGCCCAGATGGCACACAGATATCTTAAAGATATCTTAAAGATGTCGGACTTGTCACTTGAGTTGTTAAACGCCGAACGGGAACTTGAAAAAGAAAAACCGCCACGATTAGCAATAGCATTCAACGAAATTCAACATACAAGAAACAAAAATATCTAAATCTGCATTTAGTTACGAGTTATTTAAGAAATTTAAGAATTGGAAAGAGACAGACATATTGGTGAAATAGAAAAGAACAGCATAAGGATTATATGGCGTGACTTATAAGATGATGCGGATTTGATGATTTCATTGCATTATGGGAAATGTGCGGGTAATTTGATTTAAAAACTTTCCTACTAAATGTAGGAAAAATAACAAATCTACAAAAATGTCAGATACATATAATATATTATATTCAGTTACCCTACCCATCATCGTTGTCAAAACTTAAAATCCCACATTAATGTTGTTTCTAATACACTAAAATAAAATAGTACCTAATATATACCTATATCTTACTATGAAGTGGCTGATTATGGGATATAATTTAGATTTTGACTTGTCAAAATTCACTATTTTATCAAAAAATTAAGCGGCGGTATCAGGCATTTATAAGATGTCTTTAGAACATTAAATGAAGATATATTTAAGACGTCTATCAAAAGACGTCTTTCAGACGTCTATTTTAGATCTTCAGACGTTCAGGCATATTACAGACATACAAAAGACATCTTCAAGACTTTGTGTGCTATCTGGGAGCACTCTTTCACTGTCAAGTTTAATAATTAAAATACTCCTTAATAGACTTCAACAAATATTAGAAATATTCCCAAAGACAAAGTGCCTAAAGTACTTTTCGCCAACGATGTTGGCATCTTCAGAAGCAAAGTGTGTAGCACACTTCTGAAGATGCCAACATTCAAACTTGCCTTAATTTCATTATCGTTTACACCAACCCATTGAGCTTTTAGAGTTTATAATTCATTATTTTAATCATATAACAAACACAGAATTTTAAGGTCAAGAAATGTCAAATTAAGAAAAGTGTCAAAATCCTTAGTAACGTGTAAAGAAGGTGATAAAAAATATTGTCGCTGTGATAAAATGCGTAGCTATTTTATTGGTTCTAATATTAAAGAATTGTATTGTCTATTTTATTTAATTTTGTATAATATTTTCTGTTTCATTTAGAACAGGTTATTCTTTTATTTTTTTAAAATTTATTCGTATTTAAACAAAATTAAATACAATACAATACAATTATAGGACAATTTTTTAATAAATACATTATTTTTTGTAACAAATTAGATAAAAAAAAAGTATTGTCAGAAGTGGGATTCGAACCCACGCCCACAAAGTGGACCAGAACGCTCGAAACCTACAGAGTAGGCAAGGAAACCTTGAGTCTGGCGCCTTAGACCGCTCGGCCATCCTGACAGATATTTGAATTTAAGTACCGTTCGATCAGTCACATTAGCAATGCTATTTATAAACCACGTTTTTATAAATAAAAGATTATTCTAAAAATTCGCTTTCAAACTAGAGAAACAAAATAGGATCAGTTTAAAAATTGAATATTTAGTTTATTTATCATGTAAATCTCATGAGCGATCTCGTGGGATAGAAAATACATTGGCGTATGAAAACAAATGTAACTTTTAAAAATATTTTGTTATGCTGTAAAAAATCTTAAATTTTTTGTGAATGTGTCTGATGCCTGAGAAAATTATATATTAAATTTTGAAGACATTCTATGTAAACTTTTGAAATGGATATAGGTACCTAGGTACCTACTAGGTATACCTGAAGTTATGACAACAACAATCGAAAATAGACGTTTTAAATAGTACCTACCTAAATGGGTCATTATACTTTTTAGCCCCATCTACCTCTAAAAAATAAATATTTCACATTTTCATTTCCATTGTGACTATTACATATTTAGGCAAACTGTAGGTACCTAATTCCAATGTTACTCTCAGCAGTAAATTTTGTAAGCTTTTGTACAGTACGAAGTTTAAAAAGTTGTAAATAGAGTCCCCTTGCATAGGTAATTGGTCTGTGGGTAATTGTAATACAAATATACAGGTTGTTATTTAAGTAAGTTGCCCAACTTTAGGGGACGATTCTTTGAGTGATTCTAAGACGAATAGTTCATATAAACATAGGCCCGTTTTCAGCTTACAGGGTGCCAAAACTTAAAAAAAATCTTTTTTTCCAAATATCTCAATAATTTTGTTGAAATTAATAGTGATATTAAGGGTAGTAAGGGGCTAATTGAGCCCTAACTAGATTAAAATTATTAAGTCCAGTGGCGTCCCCGAAGACACCTGAATCAATATTAAAAAAAAATGTGCGCCACTAACTTTTTTGCTATTTTATATTTTTTTCACATTAGGCAACTAAAAATACAACTTTTTTATCTCTAGCATATTTTTCATATATTGCTTCGTTTTTGAGAAAAAAATAAAAATAATTTTATTTCATGTGTGGGGACTGGATTTCCCACTCTTGTCTGTCAGTACAATTTAAGTGATTTTTATAATAATTTTTATTTATTTTATTTTTATTGCTATGTATTTCGAATTATTATTAGTCAGTAATTATGTTTAAACTTTTCAGGTAGTAGGTTGTAAATAGTGTATTGCAGAGAGCGTGTGTTTGTTACCTGGAGCCTTGTAAAACATTGGAGTTTCCTTTCATCGGTAAACATCCTTTACGATTGCTTACTTACCTCTCCGGTTTCTTTACCGAAAGTAATTTATTTAATTTTATTTTTATTACCCTTTTATAGATGCGCTTGGATTTTTCCAAATGTGTCCTACCTATCCCCTACCACGATTAGGGGTGGGTGGCCAAAGGGCTCTTGGAAAATGTCTTGGTCTATCACCAGACACAACGTACTGACTCCCCGTTTTGAGTACATCGGCTCCGGGTGACAACACATTTAAATTATAATTCTGTTTGTGTATATATGTGTATGGTATTGTATATTGTGTATATGTAGTGTAATAAAGTTAAGTTTGTAAATACCTCGCCGTCGATCAATTTGCACACAACTACCCGCACCAAAGCAGTCGCTAAAGTGGTGACCCCGACGTGATTCGAACATGCAAGTATTTGTGCAAGAAGAAATCAGTGCTACCGACATGACGAAGACCATAGCTTCCGGCATACGGCAATCATTCGCAAACGTAGCGAGCTTCGTAGCACTCTCCTACGCTGCGGTGCACAACACGGTCCTCACCCATGTCCAGCACTAAGATCTGCCTCAGTATGACAGTACTGGAGGCCAACATCCACAGCCACAGTCCACACTGGTTTCAGCAGTAAGGTCAACCATAGTTGACAATGTTGGATACCACCAACCAACCATCTAATTGCTGGATGACGCTCACAGCTCAATCATCCAAACACTGGACGACGGCCACAACCACAGCTCTAACGTTCAACAGCTATATCGTTCAATAGCTCTATCGTTCAACAGCTCTAACGTTCAAACGCTCTAACGTTCAACAGCTCTAACGTACAACTGCTTTAACGATCAACAGCTCTAACGTTCAACGGCTTCAATCCTCCTCAACGCGAGATGCCTCAACCCGAGATGCCTCAACACGAGATGCCTCAACCCGAGATGCCTCAACACGAGATGCCTCAACACGAGATGCCTCAACACAAGATGCCTCAACGCGAGATGACTCAACACAAGATGCCCCAAGCAGACATCCCAACGCTGAATGCCCAGAACCACCGCCCAACCAGACACCTGGACCTGCTACCCCGGGGAACACCACACGTTACGGAAGACGTGTCCGATTCCCGGAACGCCTCCAAGCAGGAATCAATTAATTTCCGGCAATTACTGGTAGGGGGGTACTGTAGCGGCAATTTCGCCCGTACTCAGGTATCAACCAAGGCAAACACGAAATTTAATATTTTAAGCTCACCATTAAATTTCAACTTCCCCAACATTAAATTTAAATCACAACAATTGTTTAATAGATATCTTATGTAAATACTATTACCTGTAAATTTTAAGTTTATAGTTTGTAAACAAGCGTTTACTGTAGAACCTACCTGGCTTAAGCTTTGGTATTTTTGGGTATTACTGTTTCTGCATATAAAAATCCAAGCGCATCTATAAAAGGGTAATAAAAATAAAATTAAATAAATTACTTTCGGTAAAGAAACCGGAGAGGTAAGTAAGCAATCGTAAAGGATGTTTACCGATGAAAGGAAACTCCAATGTTTTACAAGGCTCCAGGTAACAAACACACGCTCTCTGCAATACACTATTTACAACCTACTACCTGAAAAGTTTAAACATAATTACTGACTAATAATAATTCGAAATACATAGCAATAAAAATAAAATAAATAAAAATTATTATAAAAATCACTTAAATTGTACTGACAGACAAGAGTGGGAAATCCAGTCCCCACACATGTATACATATATGTATATATATATACCCTGTACTTTATGAATAGGGATGGGATTTTAGTTATTTTACCTTTTTTCAACCGATGTAACTATTTAAAAACCAATATAGCCAAAATGTGTTTTAAAAATTTTCTTTTATATTAACCTAACTTGTTTTCACCTTTTTTACCTTTTTTGGAGGTTTTTCCTTTAAACTACCTTTTTTATACTTTTGTTACCTATTATTTAACTTGTTTTCCCCTTTTTTACCTTTTTTTGGAGATTTTTGCTTCAAACTACCTTTTTATACTTTTGTTACATATTTTTTAATTTGTCAGTTTATTTTCACCTATTTGTTACCTATTTTTACGAATTTTTACTTATTTTATTTTTTTGTGTTCTTTTTAAACTTTGCGCCAATATTTTATAAATACCAAAACTGAGGTTGATTATTCTATGTATCTACAGGGCACCTGATAGTGATGTTTCCCTTTTTCTTGATATTCTGGAGGAAGTTATATTATTATGCAAGGTAGATAAACATAAAATTATGATTTG